CAAAGAAAGCGAGAAAAGAATTTTAACAAATGGCGCGAAAGGCCAAAACCGTTGCAATATTAAGCAACAACAATAAAAACAAAGAGCGTAAGCAAAAGAATTTAAACAGTAGTCGTAGTGGTGATAATGGTTATAAACTTCTCAGCCATCTTTCTCATCCTCATCATTAAATTATTATTATAATTATCATCATTATCATCATCATTATTAACATCATTATTATCATCATCATTGTCACAATCATCATCATAATCACCATCATTATCATCATTATCATCAAAATCATCATCATCATTATCGTCATCATCATCATCATTATTATCATCATCATCATAATCATCATCATCGTCATAATAATCATTATCATCTTTATCATCATAATCATCATTGTCATCTTCATCTTCATCATTATCATCATATTCATCATCATCATTATCATCATCATAATTATCATTATCATTATTATTATTTTCCAGCTTTTTCGATTTCCTCATTCATACAAAATTTTACCAATTCTCTTATCTAAAACTTAAGATAAAGGACGATTTTTTTTTTATTGAGTGCATTCTCACAAGATAATTTTTTTATAAGCATATGGGTCTTTTGTATCTCAGATGGTGGCGGGTGTCCGGGAATTTCCTTAATGTGAGTATCAATATATTTTAATAATTCCTAGTGCCCCTATTAATATCGGAACTGTGGTGGCATTTAAATGGTACTTTCATGCAATTTCTATTTCCAGATCCATATATTTGGAAAGTTTGGTGAATTGTTTTCCCAAGATGTTTATATCAGGAGCTTGGTCATATTTATGCGATAACATTTATATTTTATGGATACTTATATGATTATATCTGTCCTGTTTGATTGCGTATTTCAGTCAGTATATTGACTGAAGTCCCAGAGCAGTCTGACATTTTCATCTTTTAACATTGGGGAGTGTTATTGTTGTAACTTAGGAAAGGTTACTGAATGAGGAATAACCAAAACGGAGGTTGGAAATGAAATGGTAATCTTTATAACATCAACAAAATACAATACTCGCCAGCGGCGTGAAGTAGGTAAACCACTGCTAGTGGTGGACTACTTAGACAGCATATTACTCCCCAGTTACAATAGTGTCCAAAGTATTTATGATGATAAGCACATGTCCATTAGTGTCCATAGGAACAGTATATAATAATAATAATAATTGTTGACATCATATTACACTCACTTACTATAGTGTCCAAAGTATTTATGAGGATTAGGACATACCCATTAGTGTCCATAGGTACAGTTTGTAACAGTTATTATTATTATCATTATTATTGTAGAGAAGGAATGAAAGAATAATATATTTTATCTATTAGAATTCACTTAATATAAGGCATGAGAGCCACTCAAGGTGGAGTATTAATGATAAAATGGTAATAATGAATGAGGTATGTGATATGAATGAAAGTGGAAGTCATATGAATTGAGGATTTTGAAGATAAAGAGGGTAGATACGGAGTGGACCTGGAATTGAAGTGGTTAAAATTGTAATTACAGGTGTCTGTTCCACAGTGTAGCAGTTCTTTGGGGGAAAAACTGTCTTTCTTCATACCTTTGGAATATGAAAGGAATTAGTAGGATTCAACTCCTTAGAAGTAACATAGTGTGTCGTAGCTGTATGATGGTAAACTGAATCCAAAAGCAAGGCCTCAAATCGAGTAATTGGAGGTTTTGAAGAGAGTGGAATCACCTTTAATTCCTGTTGTTCCCAAGTCCTCTCTGATCCGGGGTGGTAGCACCTGTTAGGGTCCCAGCTTTGGACAAATAGTGAATCCTTAAACAAAAGTAAAACATTATGAAAGTAAAAACTAAATATATCTATATAATAGATGCGAATGTCAGTGTGTCACACTTTTTCAACTTTACTTCTAGACGGCATAGCCCAACGTATCATACCATTTATGGATCAGAATGACTCCGATTCGAATCCAAACCCGTAATTCTGAAATTTTGGATTCCCAATTTTTCATTACTACAATTGTTTTGGGTGATTTTTTACGTGATTTTTTGCGACGAATTTTTGATACGATAAAAATTTTATAACTTGGAAATAATTTTGGGAATAATCAAAATTAATTGCAAAATCCAGCCAAAGTCAACATAAAATAAAAATATATGCCTATACGGAAAGTAATGACCTACGTACATGAAATTGTCTTTAAATTAAGTGGCGGCTGCTGTATTAACGTTGAACTCTTTAAAGGCAAACTTAAATATTAATGCAATATTTTGAGTTCTGTTGTTTATTGTTGCCTATCGCATCTACTCCTCCCTACGTATTGTGATGAAGGCCCAATCAAGAGCTCCCACCCCCACCGCAGGAGTTTGCTTAAATGCCGCCCGATTAAGCTAGTTATTATATAAAAATACCAATAATACTTATTTATAATAAGATCTCCAAATTTTAGATGTTATTATAGTCAGATGTCCATTATAGTTGTTGTTACTCCTGAAAATCTTAAAGTGATATGCTTTCTTTACTTCTTCTGTGTGTCGAGTTCCATCAGGACGTTGATGATCATGGCTCTCCACTGTTTCCTGTACTTTGCAGCTCTTTATATTTTTTTGTGTTATCTTTCCTAAACCCTGTTTTGCCATCCATTTACACAAGCTAGTTAGGCTACGCGTTGTTTTCCTCTATCCTTCCTGCCTTCAATCTGTCGTGTGAGTATCAAATTTTCCAAGCCCTCTTTCTACATTCTGTTATTTGGTACATTTCTTTGTGATTATGTAGTGCCAATCCACGACTGTTTCTGAACGATTTGAACCTTATTTAAGATTCTGGTTTTTATACCAATATTTTAATTTCATATCTTCTTGTTGGACAAAAGTATCCTTATTGCAAAATATATTCTGTGTTCAATTTCCTTATCTTCTATACAGGACTTATGCGAAAATTCAGATGCAAATTAAATATATCCATAAGGACAATATAAATAAAATATAAATATAAAATAACATATAAAATAAAATATAAAATATGAAATATAAAATAACATATAAAATAAAATATAAATATAAAATACAAAAAACACATAAAATAAAATATAAAATTTAAAATATAAATATAAAATATAAATATAAAATATAAAATAAAATATAAATATAAAATATAAAATAACATATAAAATAAAATATAAATATAAAATACAAAATAACATAAAATAAAATATAAATATAAAGTATAAAATAACATAAAATATAAATATGAATATAAAATATAAAATAACATATAAAATAAAATATAAATATAAAGACAATATAAATAAAAGAAAAGACTAGAGGAAAACTTCTTTTATGCCAATGCGTTTCGTTAATTGGAGAACATTATGAAGGCATGTATGGGAATTTTATTTGGTAACCTCTGTTTAACTCGAAGTAATGTGAACGTTAATTTTCAAAATTTTGAATTAGAGAACGCCCTAAAATATTATGAAAACTTACGGTGTAAGGACATTTGTCATGACTGAATCCACAAATCGAGGTACTTAAGTTGCTTAGAATTTATAAATTTACACATTCTGAAATGTTATGGCGGATTCAGATTTTTTGTCATCACTACTCTCATTTCAATTCCAGATCATCGTTTATTTTTTTGGAAATATTTATCCGGGGTCCTACTTCTTGGAATAATTGAATCCTTGTCTGAGTTTAACAATCTTAAGAAGATGAAAAATGGAATCGTCGAAACAAGTTTAAATTCCAACTGGGAAAGTTTGCAATCATTTTCCGCTAATGCCCATGGTAATCCATCTTCTCCCCCCAAATATGGGTAAAATATCAGTGAAGTTTATTATAGCAAAAGGAAAACATTGAATTAAAAACGGGAACGTTTGTACGTGCAGCCAGCAGCTCAACCCAGAAAGAAAATCTACATGATAAGAAAATCAAAGTAAAGACCAGACTACCTGCGACCCTCTACCACACTCCTGCAGCTATAAACATTCATTTCGTAAATTTATCGATATTTGCTTCGGTATGAAGATATTGTTCGTATCTACCTCAGTATATGTTGTATATGGGCGCTTTCTGACCATGAGACCTCGGGTTCGAATCTCACCACGGTTGATTTGTCAGGATGTTATCGGTCTGGAAAGTGCCTGAAAGCATACCACGATGTTGACCCAGCCCTTGTGAGTGAAATTGGGTAGACGGAACACTTGTGGCCGTCAATAGCCGTGCTAGCACGAAGTCACACGTCATTGTGGCCGAGGGTTTGAGTGTGCTGGTGTTATCTAGATTGTTAATTATTCTAGATAACACGCTCTCTCCTAGAGACTGTAACTAGTTGCAGTATAAACCACAGGTGGGCTCTGTGGGTGTTGAACAAATACAAATGTGCCTGAGCGGTCTTCTGCACTAGGGATTGGCTAGCTTCCCTAATAGGCTAGCTATTATTATTTTATATGTTGCATTAGCAAGACCCTTACCTTATATCAAACACACTGCATCGTTCACCTGATTATCCAAGGATATTCATTCATCAATGATTCTGTTTGGATGCAGAAATGCATCAAGGTAAAGAACTTAATATTGTAGTATTAATGTTTTTTTCTTAAATCATTTCACTCCAAGCAAGGCAATAAAGCCCCTAAGACGCAAGTGGGTTACTTAGTGTGAGAAAATATGAAGAGAAAAATCATTATTAAGGAGAGAAAACAATAAAAGAACATGAATCAAGAAGACAGTAGATAACGAGTGACATTGCATTTAAATTTCTGAAGATCAAAGTTGACTGAGAAGTAAGAAGCCGGAAGAGACGTCCATAAGCAAGAAGTGCGAGAGAAGAAACTATTAGCATAGAACTTACGGTTACATCTAATCATTTTAAACTGTAAAGTGATGAGACCTTGACGTTTAAATACATAATGTCACCAAAGAGCAAAGTTCATCAGAAGAATTGCCATGAAAAATATCTGTCTACATTTCTGAAATGAGGTCTTGTAACTATTTACACTATTTAC